ATATTTTATAATAATTCTTAAAATTCGTTTCCATTGTAAAAAAATAAATAGAAATAAAAATGGTAGCCTACCTAGAAAACCATTTCCCACCATATAGGTAGGAATTTGTTTTCCTTAAAAATCAAGAAAACTCCATTTTTCAAGAAAACCAAGAGAATGAATTTCATGGAAATTATTTGCTATCAAACACCACCAAAATGTGGAAAATAGAAAAAAATTTCCATTTTCCATGGAATTGTTGCCCAATCAAAAAGGGCCTAATAGACTTTTTCCAAATCTTTGATTTGTTGCAACCGTCATCATGTGAGGTCTTTTTGAATGATTTTTATCCAAAATTTTGTCAATTGACCAAAAAAATTATTTTGACCACATTTGAACAATTTTTAAAGAGGCAGAATGGTAACCTTATATTAAAATTAAAAATCAAAAAATAAAATTAATCTTCCTTTTTCCTAATCCAACCCCACCCAAATCGTAAAAATAAACCTTCATCCCCTTCAACGTATCTAAAAGAATATCAAGAAAGAAGTTAGCAAAAGTATTGGGAATTTACTTAAACATGCACAGCGGAAATAATACAGTTTCAATTCCCACAAGGATTCATCTTTTTATTTAGATAAGAATTGTGATGAGAATTATACATTTTCCTTGATTTTACAAATTCCTTTTGCGTTATCTTTATTCCAGCAACTTGAATCTGTCTCCCACAGCTGTTCAATTGTCCAACCTCCAATGAAATTCACACAGAGAATAGACTGCAACTGCTAAGATTTTTCCTCTTGTGCCAGCAAGAATAATGAAAACTCTATGGATCTAAAACCCTAGCCATGTATTTATATAAGCCCAAACGGGCTCGGTCGGATTCGGCCCAATATTTAATTAATCCATTTAATTAAATTCGGTCGGTGAATTAATTAATCTAATTAATTAATTCGGGGCTATAAATAAACAATCCAATTAATTAATTTATCCAACGAATGTTAAATTAATTAATTGACAATTTGCAATCTTCCAATTCTCTTTTGTGTGCGACCCATCAGGTTCCCGACTACGATGGCTAACAACGTGAAATATTATTTTGATCTAATCAAAACTGATAAATTAAACACCCTTTTAGTTTATCACAAATTCACACTCGTCGTCCCAGATTGACATTTAGCAATGTATTAAGGCAACACATGTGATGGGAAATGTCACGTGTTATGACAAAATCAAAATTGTTCATTTACCATGAAACTATAATCATTTCGTCAATATGATCCGATCAATTACGAGATATGGAAGTGTGTCAATCTCGATTATCGATCATATTTTTCATTCTATTATTAAGTCAATATGAGTCGAAAACTCCTTTTCGACATATGTGTATACCTTGGTCAAGGATTTCGTTATTAACTTAATTGAACGAAATGCAAATCACAATTTTTTACTATCTAAGAGTGACGAATCCTCTATTAGTCATTCACAACCTTCATATGGTTCTTGACATACCCGAACGATATCGTATTAGCGGCCCTTAGTAGAGCAACTCTAATACCGTCAAAGCATGACTGTCCTTATAAAAGGCACTTTAATGACCTCAAGTCATAGGACCAATTCCACTACCGAACATTAGAGATTAACCACCGACACTCAGATAGTTATCCATGTGAAATCTCTTAGCGGGTCTCCAATGTTTTGTTCTATAACAAAACATCCACGTGTTCATTTAAGTGTCACCACACTTTAGTTTCTGAGATCAGCTACTTACTTCACAAGTAAGAAATGACACACGTGATGGTCTATCTGTAATAACGATATCCGTATCTCGTTATTACTTACGACGACGGATTATTCAAAATCCAATTATACGTAATTTGTATCTCACAATCACAACTTCTTGTGATTAATAAATCACTTAAACTTGGATCTTCGGACTCTAATATTTAACATTATTTATCAAAAAATTAATTTAAATAAATAATAGATCTTGCCAAAGTTAAATACATTAAACATATTAAAAGTATTTACAACCTAAATCGGTTGGATTTAGGGCAATACTCTTACAAAAAGGACAAGCTTCATTCGAATGCTAGCTTGAGCTTAATAGATTGGGGATTTTCACTGCTAACACTTCTTACCTTGGGGATTATGGGTTTGTTGGAGAAAGGATGGTTTTTTAATAAAAGCTCGAGAGTGTTCGATTTTAGAAACAGTATTTCTTGAAATTGAATTGGTAGGTTTATTGTTGGTAATAAGAAAAGAGCTAAAGAAGTAGAAGGATAAAGAGAACTAGAGAATCCATTTGAAATATATGCTGCAAAAATCACTCTTATCTGCTTTTCTGTAATGTCTTGTGATGCTACTAGAAATCACACCTGTTGATTTCCCAAACTTGAGGATCATGAGTGAGCGCGATCGTAGTCTTTCGGTACCTGAAACAAAGGCAACGAGGTGTGTTCTCGTCATCCCTCTAATACTTAAGTCAGAAAGAGAATTATATGCGTAAGCTGTAAATTGAAAATAATGAAAAACGTACCTGGTCAATAACTCATTGGTTTGTATTTATAGGGACATGTAATACACCTCTAGTAGAATTTGAATTGGGTGGATGTTCTTATCCAATAGAGTCCTGTTAGGTAGAGGAGGTAGACCGATACCTTAATTGTGTTTAAGATAGAGTTCTTGCAGTGGTCAAGTATTGAAGTAATAGGGTAGAGTTAGAGTCCCAAGTACATAGGAATCCCATTGGATCAATAACAACTATTGTGGACCATTAAGGAAAGGTATTCTCGAGGACACTCCATACCCGAGGATGTAAATCACAGAATGTGGACACCACATGATCATCAATCCTCGAGCACTCAATCTCGGGGACCAAATGCTCGAGCACAGTGATGGTGGAATTGCGGGGGAAGGTCATTTCGAGTCCTCGGGACTACGGTGAATAGCTCAGCACAACAATGTTCGAGCATAACCAAAAACTGGCACATCATCTTGTATTATTTTGCAGAAGCCTCATTCTCACATGGAACCCTTTAGTGTTCATCCCTTCCTCTCTCTTTATCTGAAAAACTCTCATGAGATCGAGAGAGTTAGGAATGAAAAGTGGTTGAGATGGGATTTTCTGTATTTATGACAGATATTCAGGTGTCGCTCATTTTGAAACCATGACCCCACTCCACCTGAGTTAGGGGAACCGACCAGTCGAGGAGCGACTGGACCATCTCAGCCCACCTACATCTCTGGAAATCCACTACCACAAGGATGATTTCACTGATGGGTTTCTTGATTTGTTGTGGGGTGGGTTAGGGGAAGAAAGAAGATTAATTTTATTTTTTGATTTTAACGTAAAGTTATCATTTTGTCCTTTTAAAAATTGTTAAAATGTGGTCAATTTTTTTTTTTTTTTTGTCAATTGATGGAATTTGGATGAAAACCGTCCAAAATGGTCTCACATACAATGTTTGGAAATGTTAGGATGACGACTGCAACAAATCAATAGTTTGAAAAAAGTTTACTAGTATTTCAAAGATTTTGAGCTTCTGCTGCAGTTATTCCTAAATTATATACAAAAAATCTATCAGTCGGTTTTCAAAATCTAACATAAAATTATTTGCAACTATGATTATCCCCTGTTTGCCCTTATTTTGTGAAAATAAAAATGGGTGGAATAGTATTTTTTTAAAAAATGAGAGATTGAAAGAATTTTTTTTTTCGATTTACGTTTAATATTATTTTATAAAAAATTGTGTGATTAAAAATAAAAGAGATAAAAATAAAAATGTGATGAAATAAAAATTAATGAGATCAAACGGGGCTAAATGTTTGGATAGACAGTTTCGCCACTTTCACTGTCTAAAAATATCTTGCTTTTACTGTCCAGCTTCCTCCTCTTTTAAGGTATCACGTCACGCGCATAATCGGACAAAGAAACGACAAAACTTTTTCTGATCTACTTATGGAAAAACCCCGGATGGATGGATGTCCCACAATATTCTCGAAAGAATTGCAAAAAAGTCTTGTCTACAGTAACACTATTCCATCTTAATCTCGTTGAACTACACGCCTAAAAAATCGACTTTGATACTTGAAAATGAGTGGGCCTCCGTTTGTAAAGAAGCTGAAAATTGAAGCAGATGAAAATGGAAAAACAATGGAAGAAGAAAACAGAAATGAACAAGAAGAAGCACTGCTGGCTCTCATCGATCACCGCACAAAAGAAGTCGTGCATCTTCGCCAACGCGTTTCTTATTACACATCCCAGGTTCAATTTGTTTTTTTATTTTTATTGGGTTTCATTCAAGGTTTTTTGCATCAGATATTTGGGGAATTAAATTTTTTTTTTTTTTTTTTTGATAGTGTGTGTATATATACTACATATTGATTGATTTTGTTATTTCAGCTCAATTGACCTTCCAATTTTGTTGTGTTATTTTTACATGTTAGGATATTATAGATTGTGCTTTTATTATGGCTAAATATTTCCTTTTTTTATTTTATCACAATATAATTGTATCTTTGAAGTGTTGAAGCGGAAGTTCAAAATGCCTATGCTTGTAACTTTTTGATTCTCAGATGGGAGATATTTTGCGGAAAAAAATTCACGAGGTTTATGGAAGTTAAATAATTCACCACTTAGGGTAAATAGAAATTCTGCACAAGTAGGACATTGTGCATTTGAAGCTAATAGATTATTTCGTTAACTTCTGTAACATGTGAAGGTTAACGAGTGTTGTGTGCAAATGGAATAGACAAGTAGGTGTCACTTTTTGTTTTAGGGAATGTATCAGTCAGTTAATATACACAGACAAAAATTTCTTTCGAATCAAAAAGTAGGTGTCACTTTTTGGCTACCAGAAATATGGAGTTTATGGAGAAAAAAGATTTGAAAACTAATCCTATGGTTTGTTGCTCTCGAATCAATGATCTATGAAGTCCTTTTTTTTTGATGATTACTCAAGGCTGTCACGAAGTTACCTCTCTGGCCAATCAAGTTGACAATGTGTTGATTTATAATGGCATACGAAACTGTGCGGTCTGTTGTTCACTCATGAATGGTGGAGAATCATCGGTGTTTGATTGCCCTTCTCTAACAACCTATGATTGGAAATCTTACAATCGTTTCATGTGAGCCTGTTATCATCGGTTTTGCTTGATTGTAAACTTAACTGGTAAATCTACACTTGGTTGATCTGGACTTGTGAAATGCCTAGGTAATCTGCATTGGGTTTGCATTTTGCTGTGAAGTCTGATGGTGCTTCAACTTAGTTTCTTTCTATATCTGTGTGGATGTTAATGTTTGGCTGTAGGAATTTCTTCTATCTTTATTGGGAAACCATGGCTGAACATTCGTTTATATTGGGTCTATAGCTCAATGAAGCAGAGAGGAGGCTGGATGAGACACAAATTAAACTGGCTCATCTTCAAGGACGGGACAAAGGGCCAGCTTTGAAAAATTCACCTCGAAAGGAAGAAGTCAAAGTTGAAAGAAGATCCACGAGTCCTGTTCAGGTCAGTGAAGGCTCTTCTCAAAGCCAGTCTCATGGTCCACCTCGTTCAGGCCAGGAAACCATAAAGTCGTCCAGTGATAATCTGAATACTTATGGAACACCAAGTAGTCCTTTCTACAAAAAGGAGGATTCTCCTCAAACCCAAAGTCAATCTACACGGTCTGCTACTCCAAATACTTCACAGCCTATAAAGATGAAAGCATCTGGAACTAAAGTTTCCAGTGGTTATGGTTCTCAGCCCAGTGCGTCGAGGCCAACTCGTGTCAACAATATTGTACAATCCAAAGAGGACAGATCGCATAGAACATCTTCTCAGCGGGAATCCATGGAAACTCAACCTAAAAAAACAAAGAGGAAGCTTGGTATGATTCTTCTTTGAGTCCTTTAGCACTGCACTGTTAAGTTATTACGTTTTGACTTTTTGGCTTCATAGATGTTGGAAATTGTATCTGGAGATTTCATCTATTAAACATACTTGCAAAATGGCCTCTCTTAATTTATATCATATTTTTTCATCAATCAAGATGTATTCATCATTTTTTCTTTCTGATGTAGAGCTGAAAGAACATAAAGAGTTGATTCCATTAATAGGCAGCAGCTCCTCACCAAATATAATCCGCACCCAGACAGGATGTTTTCAATCTAGTCAACACAAAAGAAAGTTGAGAAGTCTTGTAATGTGTCCGACAAATGATCAACTATTTGTGACCAGGTACTTTGGACACTTTTAAAAATCTGATCAAAAGGTCGTAAATTTTTATGCTTCTAAATTTTGATAAGTGAGATGTTGATTAACCTCAGAAAGAAAGAAAAACCAGGGCATCATTTGGTTAAGACTTGGTTTCCTTAGGCGTGTTAAGCAGCACTATGTAGGTTTTGTCATCTGCATACATAAAAAGAAATGTTATAATTCTTTATTTTTTAATTGATCATTTTGAATGATACATATGATAATATCATCATGAGGTTCTTACTCTTGATATATCCCGCACACATGCATTCACAGTTCTTGCAGCATGATGTGAGATTTGTACCGAAATTCATAATTGTAATTTTTCTATTTTATTCTGGAGACAAAGTTATCTTTTCACTACTTCAAATGTTCAGTCTTTACAAAATTTTATTTTATGTGTTGGAGTGGCTTTTCACTTTTTCTAGAGCTTTCTATTGCTTGATGCCCAGAACCAAATAATCATTTCCAATGGCGAGTTCTTTGCTCAGGGCTATGTTAGCAATAATGATAGCTTGTGCAAATCAATATTTTCCCTTATTGTCAGATTGGGCGACAAACTGGTTGTTAGTTTTACAAAAGTGAGTACGAGAGGGTTGGAAATAACCAGCATTTCTATATTATTGAAATTTTAGATATAATTTTGGCTCACTCTTTAACGAGGTAATGGAGCTTCATACGAATTGTTTTGCCAGTACTTTTTCCTTCCATTTCATCATGACAATTTTTTGATGTGATTAATTTCTTTCTTAATATCACAATTAATCTTGTTGCATCATCTATCAAAGAATTCCTTCAACTGTTGCTAACTCAACCTTCTCATAAATGGTATTCTCAAGTATTTAAATTCTCACGATTATGGACATTTAAGAATTCAGTGAAGTTCAGCAACTTCCATATTTTATGAGTAATAAGAACTTTTGATCCCCTATCTAATTCCTACTTCAGTTCTGTCAAATGAATGGACAATGAATGAACTTCTTAATATAGGTTATCAAAACAGAGTTAGGTGTAAGAGGCAAGGGTTCTAAAAAGTTCGAGGTTAATGCAAACTGCACAGTACAGTGAAGGTCAGAGATAGTTGATTCATTGTACCATAGAAAATCTGTTTGCTATGAAAGATTGAATTACCTACGGGGTGGGGGTATCATTTCTACAATTTAGTTTAACCTGGTTTTGCATCTTGTGGCAGACTGGTTGAATCTCAATCCTTTCAGAATATGTCATAAAATATTCCATGGTTCACATGCAGTTCACAAATCTTGAAATGATTCTTGAGTTCTTTTCTGATTAGAGCAAATTGAGCTCAATCATACTGCTTTGATAGCTTTGAGAATGCTACCTTCGTCATTAAATGTCAATTTTGATATTTCATGTGAGTTGCATTTAAGATGATCAAGAGGATCATGCAGTGCTGCATGAACTTTAGTGACACAGAAAGCCGTCTAGGGTTGTTCATATCATATTTATCCCAACTAACAACTCTACAGATTCTAACTTCTTTTCTTGTGTATATGAATGATTTTGCAGCGCATTGGATGGAGATGTCAATTTGTGGCAAATTCAGGGCAGAGGGTTAGTTTTTATCTTATGAAGAATCTCTGTGCTTTCATCCATGTTCTTTAATTTTTTTCGAATTTCTTGACATTCTCATTAAAAAGAAGAGTGGTGCATTCTTATATTCTTAAAATATTTAGTTCAATCGTACCCTTGTTTTAGTAATTTGAGTTCTTGACTTCAATTGTTTTCTCTCATTATATAAAAGTGCAGATCAAGTGCTCATCGTCTAAGTACAACTGACTGTCAATCAGCCAAGCAGAGGAGATGGCCAGAAGATATAGCTTGGCATCCACAAGGAACCAGCCTCTTTTCAGTTTATAGTGCAGATGGTGGGGATTCTCAGATATCAATTCTGAATCTTAATAAGGGAAAAGAGGTAAGGATCATGATTGAGAGCTAGTTTTTTTTTTTTTTTAGTATTATCTTAAGCTTGCAGGTGTACATTTGACATGTACCCATGTAAAGTACAGACATTACCATGTCATCTTTGTGCCTTTATTCCAATCTAGCATATGTGGTGATCAGATTCATTTTCATAATGAAATATACGACAAATGGAAAATTTGTTGGATCTACATTGCTTGTGTCCCAGACATCGCAAACATTTGACAGTAACTGTATACAAGAATTGGTGTCTATCCATAAAGTAATTGCCTATTGGTTGAGCTATCCTTTTGACTTGTCAAATTCTCTCGGCAGTTTCTTCTAACTAATGCAGCACACAATCTCTTTGCGTTCCCCCTTATTAGTGAGCAGGGCTCAAAGCTGGGGAAAAAAAAAAAAATACCATGTAAGAAATTTGGGTTACTTCCCGAATCCAATTGGAAGTGGGTGGGCATATATATTTTACTTATCTAATTTTCTTAAAGGTTCATTCTAACCCATGTGCTACTAGAGCTTTTTGTGAAAGGAGGCCTTAGGGAATGAGAATCCAATTCATTCTTTATTGAAAAGTAGACTGAGGTGGGTTAAGGTTGCAAAAGATGTAATTTTTGAACTAATTTTTTGAGTACGTTTTTTCCATAAATGGAGACGGTATTACTGAACATTATAGCAATTTCTGAAACTTACATTTTGATCCTAATCTTCTTCAACTGCCTCAATCCTTTAACATTTATTTTATTTCCAATGTACTCCTTCACTAACATAAAATGTTTTGTCACACTGAACTCCCCTGGTTCCCCGCTGCACACACACACACACACTCTCTCTCTCTCTCTCTCTCTCTCTCACACACACACACACACACACACATTTACACCCATTATTAGTCACCTAAGGCGTACACCATGAGGCTTTTTGATGCCGGATGTTATGTGAGAATTGTAGGGGAAGGGGAAAGTGGAGAGAAGAAGAGAAAGGAGGGGGAAAGAGATAAGAAGAGGGGAAGATGAGAAGATAGAAATTAGGGAGAGAAATCAATTTATTTCATAATCAAAAGTTGTTTTATTACAATGCAAAAGAGCCCTTTATATAGGGTTTGAAATATTATATCTTAAGAAGGAAAATATCTAATAAAAGCAACTAAATTTAACCTAATTGTATTTTCTAAAATACAACATAAAATTGAAAGCTAAACATAATAATATTCCTTCTAATATTGCATCATTTTTATTAAGTACCTCGAGCTTGCACTTTAAGTGCTATATGTCCGGGCTTATAACTTGTCATACTGAGACGCACGCCGCAAGGCATAGGCCTTGGGGTGACCGAGGTATGCACTCCATTGTCTTGTTCTTTTTGGTTTTTGTTTATTGCCTTACAACTTTGAATAATGCTATTTGCAGTCATTCACCAACGTAGTCGCCCTATATGGCACCTATGTGGCAGTTAGTGATTTGATATATATAGCAAGAAAAAATTATCAAATTAATATATCAAATTACAAATCGCCATTTAGGATGCTACGTAGGGCGACTACTAGCGACTATGAATAACATTACTTTAAACTTTTGGTCTTTTATTATAACCTAGAACGTTTGAAGGGCATCTAAGACTAATTTAAACACAATTCAACCTACAAACTTGAAAAAGAGGCATTAGAGAATAAAGAAGAGGACAAATAAAGCAAGCGTAATCTAGCCTTCTATGAGTGAAGCACGATAAAACCCTCTCCTAAGTGAAGTTCCAAGTTTTCGGCATTAAAAAGGTTGATAACAGGAGTGCCGCGACACGTAACTTCACTCTTTTTCTTTCTTCAATATTTTTCTTTTTGTTGTCTTTGTATTTTTTGATTGATTTCTTTTCTCTATATTTCTGTTCTTTTAAAGTTAATTGAATAATAAGTTCCTAAGTGGCTGGTCAGGTGCTTCACTTGTTTTAGGCTTTTAGTTCTAGTTGTGGATTAATGGTCTTAATATGTGATGACAATCAGTTAAAAGTATTTTTGCTGCTATATTTATATTTATTTAAGTTTAGAATTGTAATTTAGACTTATATTCTCTTTGAAATGTTTTGTTATTATATTTTAGATAGTTAACGGTTTCTTATGAATATAATTTTTATATTTTGTTAGTTTTTAACTTATATTATTGGTTTATGTTGAGG